TGATAATTGTGACGGTCAGATGTTTAGTTTAGAAAGTGAACCCAAGTAAGTTTTATTCACTTATTTGATTTATTCGTGTCTTTTTGTTTGTCTAATAATGGCAGTTTCCGATTTAACACAATGCTTAAGTGATTTGCTGTTTGATAATTGTGATGGTCAGATGTTTAGTTTAGAAAGTGAAGCCAAGTAAGTTTTATTCACTTAGTTGATTTATTCGTATCTTCTTGTTTATCTAATAATGACGATTTCTGATTCAACACAATGCTTAAGTGATTTACCGTTTGATAATTGTGACAGTCAGATGTTTAGTTTAGAAAGCAAAACCAAGTAGGTTTATTTACTTACAATCTAATCTCTCTACATACACATTGTTGGGATAATAGTAACTTTTTTTTGAAAAATAATGTTTATATAAAGTTGTTTATATAGGAGATGACTATAGAGAGGTTCAACTGTATTGATTTATTCATATCTTGTTTGTATAATAACGCATTATTTTTAAATAGTTCGCAAGACTCCTTTAGTGACGAAGAATCAAGTTAAAATTCTCCCCAATTACGTATTAGTCTAACGTTTGATTCATGGGAAGATGAAGACAACTTTATGGAATCTTATGGAAAAAATAATAGGTTTTCTTTTTGAAAAAGTAGGACTGATTTTCATCTCAGCCATTCATATATTCGTCATCATAGTTATAAATGTTCACATTCGCAGGTACATAAGGCAAAAAAAGTGGTAGATATTACCAAACAGCATGATAGTTATTCTACAGCAATTAAGTGCGAATGGCTTGTGAATTTTAATAATCAAAAAGATACTACCCAGATAGTTTGCACTTCATTTGAAAACAAACACAATCATGTAATGAATCCAATAATCATTCAGATGGCACCACGGTTTCGTAAATTGTCTCGTGAAATGTTGGATGATATAGAATTTTATACGCATTCTGCAAAGGGTATGGGTAGTAAAAATAGAAAATAGATTAATCGTTTAGTTAGCTGAGTTGGCAACTAATTGATTAGCCAACCTATTAATTGATTAATCAACTAATAGATTAATCGATTAATTAATTAGTTGTTTTTACAGTAATTAGTTTTTTGCATTAGATCAACTAAACAACTCATCGATTAATCGATTAATCGATTAGTTGGCAATAATCGATTTGTAATTAATTTTATAACCAACTAATCGATTAATTTTTTGTTTTGATTCATAACACTAGGTATGAGTGCTAAAATGCAATATAATCTTTTAAAGGTGAAATATCCAGACAAGTATATCAATAAAAAAGATCTATCTAATGCAATTCAACGGTTTCAGGTTCCATCATGTGAAAAAGTAAAAAAGTGATGCTGCGGAAACTCTTAAAAAATTAATAGAATTAAAAGCAGATGATTCCGAATGGGTTGTTGTTCCTAATATTAAAGGTGAAGGAAATAGGTTAACGCACTTTTTTGGATGTCTCCTTTATAAGTGTCATTATGGCTCCAATATAATGATATCGTAATAACCGATAATATCTGCAAAACAAATCATTATAAAATGCCACTATGTCTTTTCTTAATTATAGATAATGACACCCGTTCACGAATTGTCACATAAGCTTTATTAGAGGATGAAACACAGGAATCTTTTGAATGATTTATATGTTTTTTTTGTTATTATATTATTAGTACTGTTATTTTCTTTTTTGATTACTATTCGCATTCACCTTTTATTTGTATATATTACTGTTTGCTACTGCATACATTATCTTTCCAAAATAATATACTTTTGATTAAATCCCAGGTATTATTCACTGCTCAGTTGGCTTAATTCTTGGATAATACCCGATGTCATAGTTTTATTACTTTTCATACCGATATAATATATTTCCTAAATATATCGATGGGTACTATTTAATTAAAAAAATGTTCTTGAATAAGATCTCAGATATTGTATGCAGTGGCGAATGTAATATTAAACATTCTCTTTTTACTTATTTTATTTGTATTACTATCTGTATTTACCTTTTTCCTGTATTGCTACCCCAATATTTTCTTTTTATTTATTCTTTGTTTATATTACTGTTACTAATTTTTATTTTAATATTATAATTTTTAGGGTGCTAGAGCAATTAAATAATGTGACAAATCATATTATTCTGAAGACCGTTTACACCGATGCTAATCCGGCAATGGGTGCAGCTTTGCAACACATATAGCCTAATGCACACCATTCCTATTGTATTTTTCATCTAAACAATAATTTTGTTAAAAAAATGAAGGTTATAACGGAAAATCGTTTTGATGAGTGTTACAGGCTATTTTACCATGCTCGAAATAGCCTGTTTGAAGTTGATTTTGAGCGTTGCTGGGCACAATTTGTACAATTTCTTAATCTATTTCCTAAGGCGTCATGGTATGTGCTTGAAACACTTTATTCTACATATCAAAGCTGGGCAGTTTGCTACACACAAACAAGATTTACTGCCGGCATTCAAAGTACCCAACGGGTTGAAAGTATACTATATCAAAAAATTTTATTAACAATGTTCTAAAAATTTTCTAAAATTATTCAGTTTTTGTTCAAAAAAAATGTTCGAATAGAGTCAATTTTCCGAACATATACTGATTTTGTACAATATTATGTTATCAACCTAAAAATTTCTTTTTTTACATCAAAGTATAAAAATTATACAAGATCGTACTGGCATTCGGAAAATCGACTCTATTCGACCAGTTTTTTGGACAAATTCTATAATAATTAAACTTTTTTTTGTAGGGATGAATGCGATTATTAAAAAGGAAGTATCACATAGTTTAACATTGTTACATTTGATCGATGCTATACAAAACTATTTGGATGAGGAAGCATGATATGCACGAATCAATGAGCAAAAAAATATGAATCCTTTTATAGGAATGCCTCATATTGCTAATCGATATTTTCTAGCTATTGATTCCCTACTTCAAGAATACTTGACCCCACATATTATTTCTCTTCAGCGACAACAACTTTCTGAAAGCTTCTTGTATGATGCTACCGAAATGTCATATGATTGGGATACACTTCCACTTGAGTCAGAAAACATTACAGAGAATGGATGCAAAGCAAGAAGATCCTTATCTGCGCTTATTTTAATACTCTTATACCAATGAGCTAATATTAAAGAAATATGAAAATATGGCAAGATGTGATTTTATTAAAACCTTAATGAAATGACGACAGACAATTCCCTTGCTGACTAAGGTAAGACAAGTATATAAATGTGTACCATCTCTAAGTATTACCACATGATGGTTAAAGTGGCCCAGAAATAATCTCTGCGGCGCGACACTC